CTCATGTAACTGTAACCCTCTGTATAGTATCTTTACAATAAAAAAAAAAAAAAAAAAAACTAATATTGTTATATACGTCCTTATAATAACACCAGCTATTTGTTAGGCTAGAGAATAGACACAATGCCACAGAATAAAATATCTTTTGTATGAAAAATGGTCTTGATTTTTTTCGTAGGTCCTGGGGCTTGACCTCAGAGCCTGGATGCTGTTCCTGAGCTTTTTTGCTCAAGGCTAACACTCTACCACTTCAGCCACAGCTCTACTACGGAATTTTTTGGTATTTAACTGGAGATGAGAGTCTCGTGGACATTTTTGCCCAGGCTGCCTTTGAACCTTGATCCTCAGATCTCAGCCTCCTGAGTAGCTAGGATTATGGATGTGAGTCACTAGCACCCGACTTAATAGATTCTTAAAAGGTAGTTTATTGGCATCTGGCCTCAAAATAACATGTGACTCTTACATTTATAAAACAAGAAGGGCTGGAGGGAAGCCCTAAGATTTCAGAATGACCATGTATCTATTCATTATATTTCCTCTACCTGTAGCTTAAAGGCCAATTCATGCTTGAGAGCCCTGAGATCATCAAGTTGCTGCCTCAGAGACACCAGGGCATCTTGCTTCTCACAGACATCTTTCTCCAGCATCTTCATAGCAAGTTCCATCTCCTGTCTCATGCTGATCTGGATTTCCAGTTCTTTTTCAACATCCTGTCCCCAAAGATAAATAACACTGCTTACACTCTTTCCTTAACTAGGTACAAATCATAACATTTCATAGGAAAGGCTGACCAAAACCCTCTGGTCTGAATATTCTGGCATATAAGTCAGAAACCATCATCCCTTTCCAGAGACAATGACAACAAGAATAATATAAAGGGTAGGAATTTCAACATTTAACCAAATGCATACAAACCTGAAAAACTTGCCAGGCCAAGGAATGTAATTACACACTTTAACAGATATTAAGATAACTAGTAAGTCTCATTACCAGAATATCTAAAAACTGTTAAAACATTCAGGACTGAATAAAACTGAAAACTGTACAAAAACTGGTGTTGATACATTCAAGAGCCCAGGGATTCATAAGTCACTCTGGGTTCCTAAGGTAACATCTCCTGGCCAACATGGCTAACTGAACTTTTAGGTCCACTTAAGATGAAACTCTTTTTGTTCAACCATTAATACTACAACATTATTTAGATAAAAAAAGACACAAAAGACTGAGTTTCAGCCAGGCCCCAGTGGCTCATGCCTGTAATCCTAGCTACTCAGGAGGCTGAGATCTGAGGATCACGTTTCAAAGCCAGCCTGGGCAAGGAAAGTCTCTGAGACTCTTAGCTCCAATAAACCACTAGAAAACCGGAAGTGGCGCTGTGGCTCAAGTGGTAGAGCGCTCACCTTGAGCTGAAGAGCTGAGGGATAGCACCCAGACCCAGAGTTCAAGCCCCATGCCGACCAAAAAAAAAAAAAAAGACTGAGTTTCTTCTGTGTTCATGTTGTACTGAGTGTATATGTTGGAACCTGCCTACTAGTTTCTTAGTTTCTTGCCTTCTTAATATTTATCTTAGTGAGATAGAGAAATATAAAAAAATTTAAATTTGTGTTATGTGCCATTTAGCTGAGACCCTTTTCATATTATTATGGCAAAAAATTACCATACTACTTCTCACAATACTAACATTTTTTTTTTTGGGGGGGGGGTCTGGTTGTGTGGCCTGAACTCTGAGCCTGGGCGCTGTCCCTCAGCAATTCAGCTCAAGGCTAGTGCTCTACCACTTGAGCCACAGCGCCACTGGCTTTTTTCTTTTTGCTTATGTGGTGCTGAGGAATCGAACCCAGGGCCTCAGGCATGTAAGCCAAGCGTTCTACCACTGAGCCACCTTCCCAGCCCTAACATTTTTTTTAACTAGGAAACCTCTAAAAACATACTTTAGGATCTGATTTACAAACACAAGATAGTAAATAGTAATTCTTTTAAAGATATTAAGATAACCAACTTGTGTTTTCAGGAAATCTGAACTTCTGTTATATATTGTTAATCTGCAATAACTTTTTTTTTGGGGGTCCGGTCATGGGGCCTGAACTCTGGGCCTGGGCGCTGTCCCTCAGCTTTTCAGCTAAGGTTAGCGCTCTACCACTTGAACCACAGCGCCACTTCCGGCTTTGTTTTCTTTTTGTTTATGTGGTGCTGGGGAATCGAACCCAGGGCCTGACCATCCAAGGAAAGCGCTTTACCACTGAGCCACCTTCCCAGCCCCTGCAATAACTTTTTAGTAAAATTAAAACACCCCAGATTATCAAACTTTTCCCCATTCATTTTTTAATTGGTGTACTTATATTGATGTATAATGGAGGGGGCTTTCATCTTGATTTTCCTTATTCTTAGTGGTACTATGAGTGACCCTTTTATAAATCATACTGTCTTATAAACATATATATATTTATATGTATGTTTTAATTTATAAAAAAACACATAAGAGTAATACTGGATGATAAACTTTCTTATTTACATCTAAGATCAAGAATAAATTTAGAGGGAGGGGGAGGGAGGAGTTGGGAGGTGGGGAGGGAAGGGATGGTAGGGGAAAAACAAAGGAGGGGGTAACAATGCTGGATAGGAAATATACTCATTACCTTGCAACCCTGTAACCCCTCTGTACAGTTTCTTTACAATAAAAAAAATATATTTAGAAAAAAAAATAAACTTAGAAGTAAAAGCTAAAAATAAGCATATAATTCTATATTTATGATTCTTAGTATGGGAGGAGCAGCTGCCTCCTCCCAAGGGTCATATCAGAAGAAATGTTCAACATCCCTAGCCATAAAAGAAATGCAAATCAAAACAACATTGAGATATCACCTCACCCCAGTTAGAACGGCAAAAATCAAGAACTCTAACAACAACAGATGCTGGAGGGGATGTGGACAGAAAGGAACCTTACTTCATTGTTGGTGGGAATGTAAACTTGTTCAACCAAGGGTCATATCAGAATTGCTGCAGACATGAGGATTGTGGCAGTAGTGGGGATTGTATAGTTTTAAAACCAAAAAAAGAAGACTAGAAAATCTTACTGCTGTTGTGGACATTCAGAAAATGGATTGAGAAAGCATTACAGGGAATGCTGGTTGAAAAGAGCCAGGAACATTTTTATAAACTTTATAAAAAATGCAGTAAAATACTATGATGTTTCCAATCACTGCCTGTCAGGTGACATCTCTAAGCAGGCTAGTACCTTTCCACCTCTGAGTTGGCTAGTACTTTTCCATGTTTTTCTGAGCTATTAGAACTTAAGCAGAGTTTACCAGCCGTAATTGTGTCTCCTCCTTTAAGTGCTTTCTTGCTTCACTTAGTGCTTGTCCTTCTGTAGTTCTGTCTGGTTTAGGACCCTTGAAAACAAGTAAAGTAGTGCATATTTAAATAATTTAAATAAATGATGTATTTAAATAACTGATATAAAATTAGTAGCAGATACTAGTATTGCTATTTAGTAAAGAAAAATGGTGATAACTAAGCAGACTTAAAAATGAATTAGGACAATAAAAAACAAAACAAAACTCAAGTCCAGTCTATCACTCAAGCCTGTATCCTGGCTATTTGGAAGGCAGAGATCCTATGGGAAAGCATAGTGGCTGGGTGGAGTGGTACCACTTCTAAAAAACAGTAGCATAATGTGAAAATAATTCTCTGTATTACTGCTGGATGCAATAAAAATCATTAGTACATAAAAACAAGAAACTAGTCTTTACTGAGGTCTAAACATGTAAGTGGCAATGAAGTGGAACATGTTGAAGGTGAGGGAACATAGCTTCCCCAAACCCCAGTTACATATGGAGGCTAGGAAGAGACAGTGTGAGTGATGTGTGCAAACGTCTGTGGCCCCTCTAGAGATTCCTTCCTATGCTCTCTGTGAATATGTTATGAACCCAGTGAAAACTCACCTTGCGATTGGATTCTAGTATGTATGAGCTTTCTTCTTTAACACGTTCCATTTCTTCTTGTAGGGTAATGATTCTGTTGTTTGCAACAGCAAGCTGTTGATAAAAGTTTTGTTGATATCAATTTTAAATGATACTGTATTCTTTTATTAACTGAGTAGGAAATAGCTTTTGGTTTGTTAGCCATCACTTTCATGCTCATTCCTTCTGCCTCAGCCTTCTGTCACCATGCCTGGCTCCATTAGTGATTTATTGTGAAATTTCTTTTCTTTTCTTCTTTTTTTTTGGGGGGGGGGTAGTCCAGTCATGGGCCCTGAACTCTGGGCCTGGGTGCTGTCCCTCAGCTCTTCAGCTCAAGGCTAGCTCTCTACCACTTGAGCCACAGCGCCACTTCCGGCTTTTTTCTTTTTTCTTATGTGGTGCTGAGGAATCGAACCCAGGGCCTCAGGCATGCAAGGCAAGCGCTCTACCACTGAGCCACCTTCCCAGCCCCATGAAATTTCTTTTCTTTCTTTTTTTTTTGGGTCCATTCGTGGGGCCTGAACTCTGGGCCTGGGCACTGTCCCTCAGCTCTTCAGCTCAAGGCTAGCTCTCTACCTACCACTTGAGCCACAGCGCCACTTTCCGGCTTTTTTCTTTTTGCTTATGTGGTGCTGAGGAATCGAACCCAGGGCCTCAGGCATGCAAGGCAAGCGCTCTACCACTGAGCCACCTTCCCAGCCCCCTGAAATTTCTTTTCTATGGCTAGATGTTAACAGATTATTGTTGAGTAAGAATAACTATTTCTAAAATATTTAATAAAGAAGCTACTTCATACCATTGTGAATCCTCCATAAGACATTCTGAATATGATTCTTCAACTGGGCACCAGTGGCTCATACCTGTAATCCTAGCTACTCAGGGGGCTAAGATCTGAGGATGGTGAGTCAAAGCCAGCCCAGGCAGTAAAGTCTGTAAGATTCTTATCTCCAATTAACTACCAAAAAAGTTGCAAGTGAAGCTGTGGCTCAAGTGATAAAGAGCTAGTCTTGAGCAAAAGAAGCTCAGGAACAGCACTCAGGCCCTGAGTTCAAGCCCCAGGACTGACCCCCCTCCCTTTCCCTTAAAAAAAAAATCTGACTGTACCTTATGAGACAATTATAATTAGAAACAGAGAAAGTATAGTCTCTGAAACCTGGATAATTTTACTTAAGATTCTAAACAATCTAATCTGCTGACAGCATAACCTTTTTTTTTTTTTTGGTCTAAGGGATTGAACTCAGGGCCTGGAAGCTATTCCTCAGCTCTTTTGCTCAAGGTTAGTACTCTATCACTTTGAGCCACAGCTCACTTCCAGTTTTCTCGTGGTTAACTGGAGATTAGAGTCTCACTTACCTTCCTGCCCTGGCTGGCTTTGACTTGGGATCCTCAGATCTCAAGATCTCTTGAGGAGGTAGGACTAGGGTGAGCCACCAGTGCCCAGCTAACTTAACCTTCTTTGAGGAAAAATTGCTTTTACTAATCAGATAAAACATGAAGGGGGCTAGGAAGGTGGCTCAGCAGTAGAGTGCTTGCCTCACATGCATGAGGCCTTGGGTTCAATTCCTCAGTGCCACCGGAAGTGGCACTGTGGCTCAAGTGGTAGAGCCCAGGCCTTGAGCTGAAGAGTTCAGGGACAGTGCCCAGGCCTAGAGTTCAAGCCCCACAGGCAACAACAACAAGAACAACAAAAACAAAAACCCAAAAAACTCCATGAGGCTGGAAGTAGAGGTATGGTGCCAGCTTTGACAGAAGAAGCCAAGCGAGACAGCATGAAGTCTTGAGGTTATTTTTTTTTCTCTTCTTGTTTCAGGGACTTTTGTAAAGGTTTTCACATTTACATTCATATCAGACGTTCAGAATAATTGTGAGACTGAATGGGGAAGTATCAGCACCCTCATGTGCCAGTGAGGAAATGCCGCATCTTATAGGTCAGGTGACTGGACTTAGTCAGGAGCACATGTAAGTCACATGGCATGTAAGCAGACGTCAGCAGTCTTCTGACCAACACTGCTTACCTTTTGCAAGGAAAAAATAACAGAGGGCCCAGAGCTTGCCAGTCTAGAACACATAGTACATAAATGATGCTTAAAATGTTTGTTGAAGGAATAAACAATGAGTGTCATACTATCTGCTAAATACTTACTGCTGACTTGCCCAGACAAAATTTTCACATAAAAGGTACTCGATTAGGCAGGTTAATATGCCTGTGTAGTCCAACTAAGAAAATGAGAATCTAGGATAAGCCAACTGGTCTATTAGGACAAGAAATTATATACTGAAGTACACATTATCTGAACAATCAAATCATTTCCAGTGTTTCACAGGTTCTACTATTGCACATTCTTCAATTTTATAGTAAGAATTTCCCATATACTTACCTCTTCAGTCAGTTTAGTGTTTGCTTTTTCTAATGTGTCTACTTTTGTCTGAAGGTTGTTTACAGTAGCACTACAAAGAGAAGAAAATCCCCAATATGATCTCTTTTAAAGAAAATACCATATTTTCCTTTTTAAATACATATATCGTGCTTACCATTCATTTTCTAATGTCTATAATTCTGGGTAAACTTGTAGGCACTAAGGTAGTGTACAAAGGGATGTGCTGGCCTTAACTTAATGAGTAAGTCTTCAGTACTAGAAATTATATTCACAGCCGGGCACTGGTGGCTCACCCCTATAATCCTAGCTACTCAGGAGACTGAGATCTGAGGATCAAGGTTCAAAGCCAGCCTGGGCAGGAAAGTCCGTGAGACTCTTATCTCCAATTAACCACCAGGAAACTGTTAGTGGCACTGTGGCTCAAGTGGTAGAGCTGAAGAGCTCAGGGACAGTGCCCAGGCTCAGAGATCAAGCCCCACAAGTGACCAAAAAAAAAAAAGAAAAAATTATTTGTTCAATAGAATAAAAGCTAATATACTACACTGTAAATTTTAAGGTTTACCTATATATGACAATAAGAGGCTACATAGACTATTTAAGTGTACCAATAACTCTTTAAAATTATTTTACTTGGGGCTGGGAAGGTGGCTCAGTGGTAGAGTGCTTGCCTTGCATGCCTGAGGCCCTGGGTTCGATTCCTCAGCACCACATAAGCAAAAAGAAAAAAGCCGGAAGTGGCGTTGTGGCTCAAGTGGTAGAGCACTAGTCTTGAGCTGAAGAGCTGAGGGACAGCTCCCAGGCCCAGAGTTCAGGCCCCACAACCGGAACAAAAAAAAATAAATAAATAATAAAAATAAAATTATTGTATGTTTCATTTGCTCATTTCAACACCTAATGTGTTAGGTATCCCTAGTACAAAAACATGCAAAAAGTAAATAGTAGTGTCAGATTTATGTTTCATTGTCAATTGTGGGTGTGTCTTTGCTTGGCTAAGCTTTCATTATCATTATTAGTTCGTGGTTCCCAGAGATAACTAACTCAAACTGTTCTTGTGTTTGTTAGCTAGAACTTAGATTAATCAAAATTTGTATTAATACTCATGTAATCACATTATAAGTCTTATTAAAAATGACATTTATAATGGAACATGAAAATTCTACAACCTATAAACAAGATAACCATTAATGGATATATTAATAATTCTTCTGAATAGTCTTTAGAATAACAAGGACATAAAGGGCTTCAGTACTGGAGATTGAAGTCAGAGCTTCATGCTTGCTAGGAAGGTGCTTTGCCACTTGAGCTACATACCTAGCTATCATTAGCATTTGAATTGCTCTCTTTAATACAGAGGAAACTTCATGTTTTAGAGTATACTAAAAATACTCAGCACTTGATAAAATAGAAATGATGATGAAGAGGGGGTGAATTAATGCTATCAATTCAATGTGTTAAGAGAGAAATGTAAGGTAGCAAGTGATATGACGAATCTAGAATAACTACACTGATGAATGAGTGAGTTACCCAAGACCAGTCCTGCAGTGTAGGGGTATAACTTCTGTAGGTCATTTGTTTTTAAATTCTTGATTGAATGTATTTATTTAACTATAAGAACTATAATTTCATAATAATCTTGTACTGCCTTTCACTAAAGGTCACCAAAATAGGGAAGTCTTATTCATCCAGTGTTTAATTCTATGATTGGCAAGCAGGATTTTTACACATATTTGCCAAACATTAGCTGAATTTTTCTTTGTTGATCATTGTTTTACATTTCCTCTCTTCTACAATGAATCTCTAGTAAAAGAATACTTATTCGTTCTTTACTTCAAATGTCTGTTGAGTTCTTCTACATAGTTCTTCTGGTCCAGAATTGCAGTAATCTGACCATCCCTAGAGGAGAAAGAAAACAGAAATGTAATAAATGACAGAAGATATATTAAGATTTCTTTTGTGCCAACTTTTTATAAAACATGACAAGAAAACTGGGATATTAATATAAATATACTGCGCCAGAAAATAGATTTGATGTATCACTACTTGGACAAATCAACAAGAGACTCAAAATCTTAAAAATAGAATAGAAACCAGGTACTAATGGTCTGTAATGAGATATCAGTATTGTGGTTTGAAGCCAGCCCAGGCAGGAAAGTCTATGACACTCTTGTCTCCAATTAACCACCAAAAACTCAGAAGTGGAGATGTGGCTCAAGGGGTAGAGCACTATCCTTGAGCAAAAAAAACTCAGGGACAGTATCCAGGGCCTCAGTTTAAATTCCAAGACTGTCCCACCCCTAATAGAATGAAATGAAGTAAAATAGCCAAATGCAGTGGCTTGTGCTTGAAACCAAGTTACTTGAGAGGGAGACATTAGGTGAATCACAGTTCAAGGCCAACCCAAGCAAAAAGTTAAAGAGACTCCATCTCAGCAAAACAAGCTGAGTATTTTGGTTTACTATAGCAATCCCAACTTGGCAGGAAGCATTAGTAGAATAATAGGACAAGGCTGTCCTGGGCAAAGAGTCTAAATAACAAACCCCAAAACAAAGCTAAAGCAAAAGAGGGCTGGTTTTTATGTGGTAGACAATTTGTTTAGCAAGCCAGAATGAGAGCAAGCCAGAATGAGGCCCTGGGAGTTTAAAACCCTAACACACACACACATACACACGCACACGCACACGCGCACGCACACACACGCACACACGCACATACACACACTAATAGAAAGAAAAGTAGCCAGGCGCTGGTGTCTTATGCCTGTAATCCTAGCTACTCAGGAGGCTGAGATTTGAGGATAGTGGTTCAAAGCCAGCTCGGGCAGGAAAAGTCCATGAGACTCTTATCTCCAATAAACCACTCAGAAAACCAGAAGTGCTGCAGTGGCTCAAGTGATAGAACATTAAACTTGAGCTGAAGAACTGTGGGACAGCGTTCAGGCCCAGAGTTCAAGTCCCATGACTGACACCCCCCCCAAAAAAAAAGAAAAGAAAAGAAAATCTACATTAATAAAGCCATTTTAAGGCCAACCACAGTACATATATGCAATCCTAGTACTTGAGAGGCTGATGTAGGAGGTCAAGGTTTTTAGGCCAGCCTTGCTAAGCTATTCTGTCTCAAGAAACCAAAAAACAAAGTTCTGTTACAGCTTATGGACCTTAATAATAACTTAGGATATAGGTAAATGTTTTCTATTTACACACACTTAAAGATTAAAATTTTCTTGTCATATGAACACATTTTGCAGCTGTATTTATAGCAACAATTTACATTTGTCATAGGAATCAAATTAAATTCACAGTGGTGTAACAGATATTCACAAAGGCTATTTACATTGAAAGTGAATGGTATTAAAAGCATTCAAAAAGATCAAATATATGAGAAAATGATGTGTGAAAAAAAGAGGTTTGCTTGTAGGACCAACTAATCTATAATATATACAAGCTAAACTAATTCTTTAGCTGCAAGTCTAAATTAATTCTACATGCCTATACAACTTCCAGAAGAACAAGTGATACAATCAGGTCAATGTTTAGGGTTAAGAACATCAGACTCACTGGACACATCTGTTATTCTCAGCACTCAGGAGGCTGAGACAGGAGGCCCATCACTTTTAGGTCAGCTTGGGACATATAGAAAGACCCAGAGTCTCAAAAAAAAGAAGGAAGGAAGGAAGGAGGGAAGGAAGGAAGGAAGGACCCTATTAAGAGTAATAATGCTTTCAATTGTTAAATATGTAAAGATTATAAGATGAATTTCTGATCCATAATCACCAAGCACCATAATGAAGATCTTTTCTTTTTTTTTTTTGAAGGCAGGGTTTGGTCATGACAAGATGGCCTCAAATTTGAGAACCTTCTATCTCAGCCTCACAAGTGCTAGTATGGCAGTATATCTCACCTGACTCAGCCTATCTATGTTTTGAAAAACTAAGAGATGAGGAGTTGTGTTCTTTTCTTCTAGTCCAAGCTGGCCCTGGAATTTTGATCTTCCTGCTTCAGTCTCTTGAATGTTGTGTAGTATTATGAGAACATGCCCAGTTTGAGAACTGAATTTCCTTAAAAACTTTTGCCCTGAACCAGGTAACTAGGAAATCATTCAACTAAAAATCATTTAGCATTTAGTAGTAAGAAGAATTTTTGGCAAGGTTTTATCAATGACAACATAAAGACTTCTTTTTTTTTTTTTGGGTCCGGTTGTGGGGCCTGAACTCTGGGCCTGGGTGCTGTCCCTCAGCTCTTCAGCTCAAGGCTAGCTCTCTACCACTTGAGCCACAGCGCCACTTCTGGCTTTTTTCTTTTTGCTTATGTGGTGCTGAGGAATGGAACCCAGGGCCTCATGCATGCAAGGCAAGAGCTCTACCACTGAGCCACCTTCCCAGCCCACATAAAGACTTCTTTTGGCAAGTCTGTTAAATCAATATTGACATAAACTTTAAACACTACTAAAAGGAAAGGAAATAGTATCAGAGAAAAAAAAATGTGTTTTTACATACCCTTCACTACCTTTACTGCTGTTCCCATCCTTGAGATACATGGAAAAATCTATAACTCCAACCTACAGAGAATTTTCAGAATTTAATATAAGACTATAGACTTTTCCCAAAGCACTTATAATAATAATATGGAAATACAATTACCAAGAATTTATGATAAAAATTTAATGTTTTACTGTGAATAGTCAAAATTTGACAAGTTAATAAGAATCAAGATTAAGTTAATAGGGCTAGGAGACCAGATCATGGCTTAAGATAAATAAGCTTTAAGGTTTCTTTTACTTACTTCAGGCATTCTGCTACTGAATTTATATTTACCTTTAGGAGTAACTTTATGCATAGTCTCAACCATCCCAAGATGTCCTCTGCTAGCATTTGTGTCTAGTCTTTTGATGTATATATGTTTATTTTCCCAAGACTATCGTTTTGTGATGTACTTAAAAAAAAACCCAAATCATACTAAACTATGTAACAAAATCATCATGGTATTTCATATACAAGGGACAAGAAATAGTCATAATGAAAGCAGGCTCTTTATATATTGAACAATTACTACATATATAAGTTTCAGTTTTAAGTGAATTACATTTACTACTCCTTAATTACCCATAATAATCCTAAATGCTTTAAAAAAATCTATATGTTAAATCAAGTAATCTAAAAGCACACACATACAAACACTGAGTAATGACAGTATCTAGGTAGAAAATAAAGAATTCAAAACTAAGAGTTGGCTTCTGAGCTTTCACAACTAACTGCTAACTTTTTCATCACAGAGGTGACAGCCAAGTTGAGCATTTGAAAATTCAGCAAAACAAAATCTAATTTTTTTATATCCATATTGAAATGAAAGTAAATGGATTTATGACTCACAGAATCTCCTCTAACTTGGCTAACAAAACCTAATCAAATCAAATCCTCAGAGTGGCTAAATGAATATGTTTCCTATACCTGAGAGTCCAGATCTTCTCCTTTCATACAGAAATTGGCGTCGATGACATTCAAACCCACCAACAAACCAGCAATTATGGCTCCTTCCTCCTCCATCATGAGAGCATTGGGCTCATAGAATTCACTGTAATGAAATTCACAGAAAACTCTTCAATACAACTTCAAAATCTAGTGATACAATCATGAAGTAAGGTGAGAAAAATGCCACCTCATGGTTTCACATGGTCATCCATGACAATGGAATTAAAAAAGAAAAAAACATTAGGTAACAGGCACAAGAACATACTAGATCATGAGATGCTCTGGCTTAAAAAGATATACTCAAACTGGATGCTGGTGGCTTACGCCTGTAATCCTAGCTACTCTGGAAGCTGAGTAGCTGACATTTGAGGATTACAGTTCAAAGCCAGCCCGGGCAGGGAAGTCTGTGAGACTCTTATCTCCAATAAAACACCAGAAAACAGGAAGTGGCGCTGTAGCTCAAGTGGTAGAGTGCTTGCCTTGAGCTGAAGAGCTCAGGGACAGCACCCAGGGACAGATTTCAAGCCCCAGGACAGACAAAAAAAAAAAAAAAAAAAGGTGTACTCAGAATGACAGTGTGGTTGAAGTAAGCAATCAGACTTTGTGACCTTTACATGTACTGTGGGATAAATTTGTTATCTTTTAGGTATGTAAAATTTTGTTTGGCTTGTTTGTTAAAATGTCTTTATATTCTATTTTAGCAAAGAATTTGTTTAATGAAATGAATAAACATCTTAAAACAAATAAACTGTTGAATTACATCTACACATATTATATTTAAATATATATATATATATATTTTGGGGGGGTAGTGTTAGATATTGAACTCAGGTCCTTATGAATACTAGGCAAACATTCTACCATTGGGCCATACCCATACTTATTTTCGACTAATTATTAAAAGTTGTCTAATAAGCAACAGGCACAATAGTTTGAAAATGATTTAAAACTTTTCTTTTTGTGGGGCCTGAACTCTGGCCTGGGTCCTGTCCCTCAGCTCTTTAGCTCAAGGCTAGTGCTCTACCACTTGAGCCACAGCGCCACTTCAGCCTTTTCTGCTTATTTGTGCTGAGGAATCAAACCCAGGGCCTCATGCATGTGAAGCAAGCACTCTACCACTGAGCCACCTTCCTAGCCCAAATTAAAATTTTTCTAAGGGATCATTTTCTTTCATTATTAAGTAAAATCGGTTTTCACTGCAGAAAAAAACAAAACATTGAAGCAAGCAAAAGATACACATAAGAAACCATACAATTTTATCTGCTGTTGATTTGTTAAGAACTTAGTATAGAAAAAGTACATGACCTTTCAGACTATTTAGAGGGACATACATGTTTCCTTGAGGGATACTAAAGAGACTGTACCATTTTGTTTAACTTGAGATTTGTCTTTGGTTCATCAGTATCTATTTCAATAAGTTTTTATTAGTGTCTATTTCAATAAATAAACTTTTATTAAATAACTATACTTTTTTTGGAGACAGCTTCTCCCTGGACTGCGCAGGTTGGCCTACAATACAGTATCTTCCTGGCTCAGTCCCCGAGTGATGGGATTACAGAGGTGTGTCACCATGCCCAGCTTTGTTTCCATTTATGTACATACAATACATACATATGTATGTTTGTATGTATGTTGTGCTGAAGATGGAACCCATGTCCATATATCTACTAAGCAAGCACATCAAAGGGCTACATCCCTTGCCCCTATATGGATGCATTATATATTTGTTTAGCCAAAAATTCATTTTCTTCAGCCCTGAGATTCTTCTGGGATCAGTTGTTTTGGTCTTTTACTACAACCAATCCCACAGAATCCCATAGGGCATGTGATGATAGCCTGAAACTAGAAATAAAAAAGCCAGTAGCTGTCAGTCATAGTTTAATACTTTACTTGCAGGTGTACTGTGAGGCTGGTATAAACAAACCCACTGTGCCACCAGTTATGCAAAAATATAGCACACATAATTGTATATAGTACATAATGTTTCATAATGATAATAAATTACTATTACTGGTTTGAAATAAGCAAACAGCAACAACAACAACAAAAAGAAATAAAAAGCCAAGAAGTAATATACTTGAAAATTCTCAACAGATAAAAATTTTTGATGACCCACAGATGATTAGCTGCTGGATAAATGCTGCTTATGGTGGCCAATACACATGCCAAAATTTCAGTGAAACCCAATTAAGTATGATCTAACAATCATGCTTATTGGTACTTATCCATAAGTACTAAAAACTTAATGTCCACTCAAAAGTTGCATTTTTTTTCTTTTTGATACCATTCCTGGGGCTTGCTCAAGGTTAGCACTCTACACATCTCTACTTATGGGTGTGTGTGTGTGTGGGGGAGGTTAATGGGAAATAAGAATCTCATGGGCTTTCCTGCCTGGGCTGGCTTTGAACCATAATTCTCCAATCTCAGCCCCCTGCGTGCTAGGGCCACAGCTGATTTTTATTATAGCATATTTGTTCATAATTCCCCAAAACATGGAATCAACTAAGATACCATTCAATAGTGAATAAATAATCTGTGCTACATACAGTTCTAGGAATATTATCCAACACTAAAAAATGAAGAAAACCAAGAAAAGATGTGGTGGAACTTTAAATGCAGTTGAGGAGGTCATACGTTATATAATTAGAACTATGTGCCATTCTGAAAAAGACAAAATCACAGACATAGTAGAAGGAACAGTGTGGCCAGGAGTTACGTAAGGCAAGGAGACCCTAGAGGAATTTTAGAGCAGTACAAGGATTATTTATGATACCATAATGACACTGATGCATACTGTTATACATTTTTTCAAAACCTATATACAGGATGTATAATCCCAAAAGTGAAAGCTAAAGTGAACTATGATGTCTCAATACAGGTTCATCAATTACAACAAATGTTTCATTCTGATGTGGGAAGTTGATAATAAAGGAGGCTAAGTATATGTAGGTATATGTAGTGATTGTGTTAAGAAATCTTTGTACTTTGTGCTCAATAGTGCTATGAATCTAAAACTGCCATAAAAAACTTTTCTTCTGGAATTGAAGAAGCCATGAGATGAAGGAAAGATCTTCTATGTTTATAGATTGGCAAAACATTGTGCACAACTAAAATCAATCTACAGATTCAATTCCCATAAAGATTCCAATGTCCTTTCCAACAACAAAAAAATCCTCCATAAAATACATATAAAAGCATAAAACAAAAGCTGAAACAATCTTAAGCAAAAAGAGCTATATTGGAGATATAATACCTGACAAAATTATACTACACAATCACAGTAGCAAAAACAGCACAGTAGCGACACAAAAAACAGACATATAGAACAATGGACTAGAATAGAAGAACCAAAAATAAGTCCACATATACAGAAAAAAAATCCACAAATACAGCTGCTTTATCTCAACAAGGGCACCACAAACATTTTAGAAAAAAGAGTTTTTTCAACAAAGGGTGATGGGAAAACTGGACATTCCATGTACAAGACTGAAACTAAAATCCTGTATCCCACTCAGTGCAAAGTTCAATTAAAAGTTGGATGCTGGTGGCTCATACCTGTAATCCCAGCTACTCAGGATGCTGTGATCTACGGATCTCTGTTTGAAGCCAGCCCTGGCAGGAAAGTCTGTGAGATTCTTTTTTTTTTTTTTTGGGTCCAGTCCTGGGGCCTGAACTCTGGGCCTGGGCACTGTCCCTCAGCTCTTCA